TGGTGAGGATTTGTATCTAAGTACCCGCTCTTATATAAGAATTCCAGCCGTTTAAACGTAATTTCTGTGCCGGACAATTCATGGATGCAATTGGGTTTGGCTGCCGTGTTCACGCAAAAATTCATGTAAAATCTTTTGTCGAGCAAATTGTTCTCTATCAGCCAGATGTATCTCTGTTGCGACTTCGGATGAAGCTGGTTGTTGCTCAGATATGTTCTGATTTTGTCTATTATTGTGTGCTTAGCTAATTGCGGCTCGACCTCCGCCTGTTGTATGGGTTTGGTATCATTGACTTGTCTCACATTGACTAAGACTGACTGTTTTTTTATGTGCTCTTCAGTTTTTTTAGGTTTGTCAACTTGCTGTTGTGTACTCATAGGAGCCTTTACAATCTTCTCTTCTGACTCTTTTTCTCGCTGTCTCATATATTCCAAATAACGTCTTTCATCGAAGAAATCCGATTTTTGACTGATGAATTGCAATAAATAACTAGGATCGTGCGACAAGTTACCATGCTCGAATAGCGTTTGCAATCTAGGAATTTTGAACTTGTTTTTTACCAACTCTTTTATATAGCCGAAGTTGATTTTTATTTTCGATTCTCTGGTTTTTTGAAGGAAACACCTGGAGCTGTCGATCAAGTCGTGTTGTAACAACCACATGAATCTGTGTTTCATTCGTTTTGTAACCGTTTTGCTGGGAGAGCCACAGACCTTGAATACCAAACGGTCTACTTCGTTTCGGGTAAATTCTTTCCCAGCATACACGTAGCTTCTGCCGTGCAACTTGTACACCGGATAGTCTTTATTTTCACCTGAATAAGTTGGAATTGCTGCCGTACTTTGGGAAGGTGGTGGAATACACACACTACCGTTCAACTCGTCTATATTTACACCCGCCTTTTCCGGTTGCAAATTTGAATATGTCCGAGGAACCGGAGCAGAAGTTGCAGTTGTATATATGTCTGTTGAAGCCGAAGGAACTGACGCACCGTACAACTCATAATGTGAATAGTTTGTCGAAGACGTGTCTAAGTCGTGTTGGTCGTACGTTACTAAAGGAGCATTTAAGTCTTTTCCTGTATCCACCTGACTTTCTCCGTATATATCAAAATCTGGATAGTCAGCATTTTCACCTGATGTTGAAATCGTCGCCAAACATGTATCAAAATCAGTTTGATCGCTAACACATACCGGTTGTGGTAAATCATTGTTACACGTTTTCTCGACTGGTCCCCGAGTCGGCAATTTTTCCTCGGAACTTTTGACTCTTTCGTCTTGCAATATGCGCCAAACGGCTTTAGGAGAAACACCGATGTGGTCCTCTCCTGTTCGTTTAGCAGCCAGTCTGAAAAATGCTGAAAAAATTGGCGACGTTACCAATAATTTGATTCAATCTCTACCGTACACTCAGCAATAAGTCCACAAAAATGCTCGGACATTATCTAATTTTATCTATATTATATTTATTATATTTATCTTTATTTTTTTAAGGTTAAAAATGAATTGTTTTTCTCTTTTAAAAGACAATGAAATATATTGTTTGCACATCAGCTGAAGGCTTCTTTCTCCGCAATTGTCCTGTAAATTTTCAGGTCACCAGCAAACATAGTTCCTTTAGAATGGATTAAGACATCAGGGATGTCATCCGCAAACAAAATGAAGCGAAGAGGACCACAATCTGATTTTTAAGTAATATGATATTAAAATATAAAATCCAACTAATATTGATAACAAAGCAACATTTTGCTGACAAAAAGAAAATAATAGCAGGCCACGGAAACGAAAAAGCGTTTATAATTTGACGTTTTGATTTAAGAATCAATTTGCTATAAAATGTCGCGTGGTAAAGTAACAAACGGTGCAATCAGAGTTTTAATCATAAAATTGTTTCACCAAGGAAAGAGTTTTGGGAATATTGCCAAACAAACAAATGTCGCAAAGTGGCAGATATTGTGAAAAAGTATGGAGACAGAGGTTCAACTCAAGTTTCAGGTAGGCCGCGTAAGATCAGTCCTTGAATGCAACGATCTCTTGTTCGTATTCGTAAAGCTGGTCGTTCCGGTACAGTAAGGGACATAACAGTAAAATAGAATGAAGAAACTGCAGGAAATGTTTCGCCGTCGGGGAATTCATAAATCTGGTTTACATTTTTATAAGGTACGCAGGTTGTATTTAAGGGAGATATGGCATATTTATTCAGCAGAATCTTTGCTTCAAGCAAAAGAAAAGCCGTCGCTTACGGAAAAACAAAAGGAGGGCACTGTGGACTTGCGAAGACTGGAAAAAAGATCATCTTTAGCGATGAATCGAAATTTGGTGTTCGTGTGGGTGACCACCGATCCCGGGTTATAAGAAACAAAAATGATGTGTTTCATAAAAACAATATATTTCAATGTCTTATAGAAGAAAAAAATATTTTGTAACCTTAAAAAAATAAACAAACTATTAATAGATATTATTGATTAATAAAATTAGATAATGCCCGAACTATGTTGTGTTAGGGCTCGTACAGCCCGACTCTAATGTACGAGAGCGGCTCGATAAGCACTTAAACCAAGAATCGAATCACCGACCGATATTGCCCTTTTCTAAAATCCGCGGACACGCCCGTTTCCTCGCGCGGTCGAAACAAAACTGCCGATTCGGCTGAAATTTTGATAGTAGCTGCCTACGGGACTGTACCGCACGACAGTATATTTCTCTTGCGATTGTGGCGCCATCGGGCGGTGAGGCGGAGTACTTGTCGTACCGCCCTCGTATGTATACACAGCACGAACGCTCTCTATCACCCTACCGGGATACATCAATGAGTTTAGGCGACAGACAAAACATGCAAACATATACCAAGGTCATATCTAAAGTAGTATAGTATAAGTCGTCAACGTCTCATGTGAATGACAACTGAGGGGTACTATGTAGAAGTAATTTTCGAAAGGCGAACGTTGTAGCTGTGAAATTAAAATAAACATTTTTGCACAGCCAATTATTTACATAAGTCTACATAAATATACTGACGGATATCTTAAAAGTTTTGGTACAAAATTCATTGGCTTTTAACGAACACAAAATAATATCAAGTTGCCTTTGGAAACAAAAGTTTGTTTACTTACTTTACTGTCAGTTGACATTTATTTATTTTGAAAATTTCGCTGTAAGATGTATAAATTAGAAATAAAAAAAAGTGTCTATAAGTTGGTTGGGCGAGTACCGAAAGCTGAAATTTGTTGAATGTTCCAGAATGAAAACATTTCTCGCAGAACGAATTATCGAACAATAGCGAAGAAAATTGCGTCTGGTAGAGCATAATTCGTTAGTATAGTATTGAGTTATAGTTTATGATAACTAGTTAAGTGTCTCCCAGAAGCCAATTTTATGTCTACTCTAATGATTACCCAAAGGTACTTTAAAGTCTTTCATTTTCGTTCCCTTACTATTTTGTAATACCAAATCGTAGAGCTTAGAACGCACTTCAAAGTACCGAATAAACGGACTTATATTTGAGATACATCTTGGCAACACCGTCAGTAACGTCATGTATGACAGCTTGCAGGTTAGAAAGTGTAGTGCGATTTGAGTCGATCTAAAATTAAGTAATTTTGACTTATAAAGTTCGATATTCGTATTAACTTGAAGGTAAGCACTTATGAAATCCAATATATAAATATTATTTTATAATTATTTTTAAATATATATGGGTGAATATCAGTTATTGGGGAATTCAATGTTCCTGCAAAAAAATCTTAATCCAATGGACAAATTGTGGAAATAGACCATTCAAATAGTGGAAGATGTCAATCTTTATTTGGAACATATGCCGAAATTGAAGTAACCATTAAGATTTAGGAAAAATCTGATTGAAAGTTAACAAAATGTATACTCCCCTGGCATGTTCCATTTCCAAATTTCACTACAAACATCAACAAATCTCTGTATTATGTACTGGTATAACAATAAGCGGATACTCTTTGTATTACCTAATACAACTGATAACATATTTTCGCAAAAAGGCACACTAAAAATATACATAAATGCGTAAAAAATCCCGTTTATTAGTGGTTCCTGAGAACAGTGTCACCCTCACCTGGCGCAATTCAAATTGCATATATTCATCAAAATATGGCAACTATGCGACTTGAAGTTGAGCAGCAAGTAGCAAATGAAGAAGGGATAGTGCGAAACTATCGTAATTTGGAAAACGAAGACCAGGGACGCGTCAGTAGCCCACTGACAGTCGTCCGATACCCTTTTGCCAGTGAGTGAAGTATTTCCCCTGGTAAGCATATCTTTGTGAATTTAAAAGTTACATTTTGCGACTTTATAAAAAATTAGGATTTTTGAATACAAAAGCCATGAATCGCGTTAAAATAATATAATAATCATGATATCTTGCTTTTTGGGGGCTTACGCACGTTTTTGTCACTTCCCTGGCGTCACTCCCCTGGCAGTTTTTATGTCAGGGGAAATACGCACTGCCCAGGGGAAATACAAAGGCACCTTTTTGTATAAGATGTGTAGGTACTATACCAAATTCAACTTCAAGAGGCAGTAGATCTGAAATAGGTCAGGCATGAGGGGCCGGGCCAGACACGGCCAGAGGCCTAAGGCCGTTTTCAGTGCTCAAACGCTCATTGTCAGTGTTCATACCAATCTGTTACATCAATCAGCGGGCTGCACCTAAGAAGTTGCCTGGCCCAGTTTACGGCTCTGAGCGGCCTGCTTCCTGCTCTTGAAGTTGAATGTGGTATAGACACTATTTCATTAATTTCAGATAACAAAAAAACCATAACTCGCTAAAATGGCAAAATTATAAAAAAGCAAACCCGAGAGGAAGGATTGGAGAAAAAACGCCAAGCAGAAAGACCAAGCGACCAGCGAATTAAAAATGATTCAATCAAGAATGCTGAGTTAAAAGAAAAAGAAAAAGAGAAGTATCACAGAAAGAAGGAGAAAGTACAAGTTAGAAGTATAAAAGATCTGACAGATAGGGAACAGCGAGCTATGAGAAAGATATGGAGAGAGCAAACTGAAAGATATAGGGATCGTGTGAGGCAAAAAACTATTGTTAATTATCCAGAGCCACCGCCGCCTTCGGACCATGAAGATCCACACTTCGATCCTCAAATATTGGACAATAGAGCTTCAGGTGCCGAAAGACCCCCAGAAAAACAGAGGAAACGGATAAATGAGCTTATCAAAAAACAAAAAAACGAAATTGATCGATTAAAAAACTAGGTGAAGAGATTTCAAAGGAAACTAGATCACGTAAGAAGTCTAAAAATGTCACCAAAGTCGAAAGTGGACCGATTACTAAAAAAAAAAACGAAACCAAGTAATCAGGAGAACGTGGAAGAAGTTAAAAAGCATCTGTCCTTCAGTAAGGTAGTTCAAAATCAACTAAAAGAAAATATAAGGCATACCAAAAAGAAAAATGAGAAGACACTGTTTCGTAAAGTATTGAGTGGTAGGTTTGTTAGAAAGTACAATCTTTTAAGTCAAATTGATATGAAGCCTGTGAAACGATAACCCACTGTGGGAGAGGTTTGATAGACGTGACAAGGAGAACAAGAATGAATGAAACTAGAGAGAAGATAAAGAACGTAATTAAAATTTTTTTGAAGGAGACTGCAACAGTCGCTTATGCGCAGGAAAAAATGACTACATTACGAAAAACAAAGTGAAAAACAAAAGAGGGTTTTACTAGACTCAATGAAGCATTTACACGCACCGTTCGTTAAAACCAAAGGAGTGTCGATAAGTTATACTTCATTTTAACGTTTGAGACCTTTTTGGATTGTATATCCAAACGTTCATAGAAGAGAAACATGCTTGTGTGTAATTCATGCAAATATGCAGTTGATTTTGCTCTCTTTAAGAAGAACGAAAATTATAGGCTTTATGAGTTTTCAAGCAATGCTAAATTACTTATGTTTCTATCGCATGACATTTCCGACATAAAGTTGGAAAAGTATTAGAGAGACTGCCGGTGCCAAATATAGTAATGAGAGGAGATAGATTATTTTATAAATTCAGAACTCCTATACCTACCTGTATTCGAAAAATGAGTATCTACTCGAATTCATAAAAAATTGGGTTATACCTATGTTAATTTTATTTTTATGCTAGCTACAATTTTTTATTTATAAGCACTGATTGCGATTCAAAGACTGTATTATGTCAATTTTTTGTTTTAAGTTTTTATAATTTTATTTCTATTATTATTATTATTATTATTACTCAGGTACCTACATTGCTATCTATATTAAGTTGCAAGATATAAACAGCTATAGTGGTTTTTATTTATATTAGTTCTTGTGTGAGCAGGGTTCACTCAGTTGATCCAAATGTTATTTTTTAAGAGACTATTAGAACATGTAGGATTTTGTTATTTTCAATAAAAAACTATTGAACTTATTTACCTATTGATGTTTATATTATTTTATAAAGTGTCCTTTAAGATCATTCACATGAGAAGTTGTCACTCTTCTGTCTCAGTTTGTCACTACCCTGTGTATAGTGTCACTCCCCTGACTACGCATTTTCCCCTGGTAGCTGTAAAATCTCTAAAAATCAAAAAACTATCTGGTCCTGTCAAAGATGCATCACAAATAGTATAATCTTAAGAGGTAATGAATATGAAACTGAAATGAGTAATTTTTCTTAGGTACCACTAAAAACCCAAATACCTGATATTCACCCATATACGTCATTATTTATTTGGTACTTACAAGTACCGTTGGTACTAGGTTATGTTGATGATTTCATTTTTGCAGAATGTCATCAAATTGGGAAAGAAAGCGTCCACTAACTGATGCTGCGTTATTGGAATTAGTGGAAAATGATGACTTAGACGATTTTCTACCATTAGATAATAATATAGAGACAGACATTGAACCTGCTTCTGATGAGAAAGAAGTTCAAGATAATCTGCAGCTGGAGGCTGAAGAGCAAGAAATTCAACCACAACAATTTGAAGAGTGTAATGAACAAGAAAATGAACCTCAGCGAATTTGGAAGAAAATAAGGAATGACAAATGATAAAAGTTTGAAGCGAGGTGAATTTGATCACAAAACTTCAAATACTGGCATTACTTTATACAAATGGAAAGATAATAAACTAGTTACATTTGCGTCTAATTTTCATGGCACTGAAACTACTCAAATAAAGAGAAAGCTAAGAGATGGCACGACTTGCTGGATCAGTGGACCTCAAATTCTTGAAGACTATAACAAATTTATCGGAGGAGTAGATTACCATGATCAACTACGCCAATGTTATGGTATTGATAGGCGCTCAAAGAAATGGTGGCACCGTATATTTTGGGACTGTCTTGAAATAACTTTTGTGAACGCATACGTCTTATACAAAAAAGCAAGAAATGAACCAAAAATGACACTTGTATCATTTAGAAGAGAAGTGACTCTTGGGTTATGTAGCAAAATTCACTGAAAGGAAGAGAAAATCTACAAACTCAGGATCGACTCCCAGAAAAAGGCGCTACAACTACAGTGTAACGTCAGAAATACGATTAGGAAACAGAGGAAACCACTGGCCTGAATTCGTTGAAAGACGTGGACGGTGTGAAATGTGTAGTGCTCAAGGAATTCAATCTAAACCACACTCCATATGTTCTACATGGGGAGTTTTCCTCTGTGTAAATGAAAAAAAGAACTGTTTTTCACTATACCATGATGTATCATAATCTAATCTATGAATCTAATCTAATCTAGTGTATTATCTAATGAATAAAAAATTATAATTATTTTATTTTTTATTTTCTGACATAGTGTGACTACCAAAGATACTTAGTAGTACGACTTACAGAAATATGTCAAAATGCTATTTTGCTGCGGTCACTTTCAGACCTATTTATAGCTTGAACTAAAACAGTAACAGATTTCAAATGGTATAATGAAAAATACATGATTTCGACTTCTGGCATTTGAGGGTACGGTAATTTTGTGGTACTTAGAAGTACCTTCAGGAGACAAAGGGTTAAATAAATTTCTTCATAAAAAAAAAACGATAAATATTTTGTGCCAAAACTTTTAGGACATACGTTAAGCAATTAATTCATTTATATCGCGAAGGATGGACTAGCAACACAATATTATCTTTTACACCCTATAGAATCTTCAAAAATGATATTCTTGGAAACATTAGCTGAAAAAGTGAATTGAAACGTCTACTATCCCCATCAACAAATGCTACGGCCGATCACCAAATGGTTCTTTAAAAACATGAAACTCGAGTGGTCTAAACATTTAAGACCTTATCGGTCTACTGATTACGAATATGTGAGAATTACTGCGGAATCGGCACCAGTTGATAAGTAAGACTTTGTTCAAAAACGGCTCATGTCATTGGTATCAAAGTACATTTTTTACGAATGAAAATATCCTGTTTGTGCTGGTTACTATGCTGTCAAAAGTTTCACAAACAATGAATACCAGCGTCTTTTAGGGGCTAGTAACTTCGTAAAGGAGCTCTGAGGATATTTATTATATGTTGCTGCATCATTAGTTCCTTGTTTTCTATATGCATCGGATATACAGGGTTATCCAAATTAAGTGTCCACCATTGGTAACTTTGTTATTAGTAAAAATACAAAGTTGTTTAAATTAGCAAACTAGTAGCATTTTTAACGCTGGTAAAAATGAGAAATAAAAAAAAACAATTGAGAGTCGTTATTTTGATTTTTTTCAGTAAAATAACATTTTTTTAAATGGAAACCCCTGTATATTATATTTTTTTCTGTTAAAGCATCAAATTTTAAACAAAAAAGTTCATAATGACTTTTCCGCTAAAGTCAAAAATAAAGTCAAAATAACGATAAATATTTTTAATTATTTGCAGTATTATAATATTAAGACGGCTATGAAAACATCATGGCGTTCGCGATTTGACAGCATTAAGATAAGCGACAAATTGTTAAACTGGACATACTCGCAACTAGAAGGCTTTGGAAAACAATGATAAAATCAAATAATGTCAAACATTAGTGTAAATACTTGTTTATAAGCTTTATTGTGTCATTAATTTAAAGAAAAATGTTCTCCCATGAAGAAAAGTGTGATATGTTAGAATGCTATTTAGTGTGCAGAAAATCCTCCTTGAGAGCAAGAGAATACTACAGTGAATTATATCCCGCTCGCATTCAACCGTATGAGCGATATTTTCTGAGACTTTATCGAAAATTTAGGGGCAACGAAAATGTTTTTGCTAAAACAAGGGCAAAAAAAGAATTCATAATAAGCGAGGCCACGGAAATTGCAGTTATTGGATATTTTGAAGCTTATCGTGAGAATTCAATAGCAGATATTCTCAAGGACTCTAATTTCAGTTATGGTACTGTTCAAAGGATTTTAAAAAAATACAAATTTATTCCGTATAAGTACCGACCAGTTCAAACGCTTTTGGCAGGGGATCCAGAGAGAAGACTTGTTTTTTGCCATTGGTATCTTAGCTTCTGTCGCCAAAATGTAAATAACTTTCGTTACCTTTTATGGACAGATGAATCAAATTTTTCAAATTCTGGAATGTTTAATAGAAAAAACCACCATTATTGGTCAAGAGAAAATCTTTTGATAGTACATCCAAGAGGCCCACAAGTCCGTTTCAGTTTCAACGTTTGGTGCGGTATAATTGGTTCAAAAATTGTTGGCCCGTTCTTTTATGAGGGAACCCTAACTGGTGAAAGATATGTGGAATTTATGTCAGAAATTCTGACTAATTTCTTAGACGCATTGGATCTTATAAGTAGACATCATCTGCATTTTCAGCAAGATGGCGCACCTGCCCACAACTCCAGAGGTACTTATCATTTTCTAAGTACTACTTTTAATGATCAGTGGATAGGAACAAATGGCCCAATACAGTGGCCTCCCAGATCACCAGATCTAAACCCACTTGATTACTTCTTGTGGGGTTACTTAAAGAACCAAATTTACAAGCGAAGGTACGATAACCTTGACGCGTTAAAGACTGCAGTTAGGGAAAAGATAACCTAGATAGATGGTAGGACCATACTTAAGACAGTTCGAGCAGTTGAAAAACGTGCCCAAAAATGTATTGAAGAACAAGGTGGTGTTTTCGAGCATCTTCTTTAAAAAAAATTGTTATTGTATTTTGTAAGATTATAAGTTGATGTTGAAAATAAAGTTTGTCGATACAATTTAATTGTTTCAGATTGGAGGCCATAACTTCAACAATTTGTAACCTAGGAGAAAAGTTATTGTAAGCTTTTTTGTTTAAAATTTGATGCTTTAACAGAAAAAAATATAATATACAGGGGTTTCCATTTAAAAAAATGTTATTTTACTGAAAAAAATCAAAATAACGACTCTCAATTGTTTTTTTTTATTTCTCATTTTTACCAGCGCTAAAAATGCTACTAGTTTGCTAATTCAAACAACTTTGTATTTTCACTAATAACAAAGTTACTAATGGTGGACACTTAATTTGGATAACCCTGTATTTCCATATTATTAAGGAAGATTCGTTTTTCGCGTCCGTTGCCAGCTCCCGGGAGTTCCTTCTTCGTTTTTGCCTTTTTTGTGTTTCACCGCCTCTTCATTTGCCTCTTTATTGTTTTTTTATTTTGTTTAAGGACTTTTAGGGTAGTCAGGGCTTTCTCGCGTGGACTCTTTGTATTAAAGGGTCCAATGTATCGGTTTTATAATCGAGAGACTGTCCTTTTTCGTCATTACTCTATATGTAGAATTTCTTTGATTATGATGTTTATTCATGACGAAATAAATATTATGAATTTGAATTTGAATGCTCGGTATATGGCAGGTGCAAAGAATGTATGAGAACAAAATTTGACCTGCACACAAAATTAACGGTAAAGTCTGGAAACAGTGCTCTTACAAAAGCGAATCAATTCAAAATGCGATATTTTTGCTATGTCACCTGCAGTTTCCACGCTTATTTCTTCTTAGCACCGTCCTTTTTGCTGTATTATAACATTGTAGCGTATTATCTGAATGAGACTACTTCTCCGTTTATTATGACAACTTCATCCGACTGCCTCACCTCGCTGATCCCCGGCAAGTTGTCTCCCGTTTTGGCCTTCTTATTGAAGTGGCGATCTTCCTGAGCTCGATCGACTTCAAGTTCACGTTTCCGTGAAGTGCTACCGCTCGTTAATTCCTCCAAGCTCCTCACGCGTAACGTGTATCTTTTCCTTTCAGCCTTGACTGTTTCGACTACTGCTGGTGAAACTTGAACGTCATTTTGGAACACTTTAGGCTCTACTGCATTATTTTCTAGTTTTCTATCTCCTCTAACTAGTTTACGTTTTCTTCTTTTCTTTTCAGAACCTTTCAGAAAAGTTTCCACTTCCTTAATAATTTCTTCACCACTTTCGCTGCTGTCAATATTTATGATTTTAACATCATCTGTATTAGATTTCTTTGATTTCGGAGGAGCTTTCTTCGATGCACTCGGTTTTTTACTACTCTGTTTGGAAAGTGCTTTCCTGATCATCTTCTCGGCATTTTCAATTTTGACTACAAGGTCCTTTGTCAACTTTTTGGTAGGCTTCCTTGCGCTGCGTTGTCGTAGTTTTGCTCTGGTTTTATAAGAACCACCATCAGCATCGACATATTCTATTTTACTTACCGACATTAATTCCGTTCTTCGTTTACTTCTAGATTTATTTCCAATAAAATTATCACTTGCCTCAGAATACGAACTGCTATCATTTACCATTAGTATATTGTTCTTAGCAGACCTGTAATTTTTCGTTTTGCTCTTAGTAGTATTACTATTTTCTTCAGCATCTGAATCATCAGGTATAACTATGGAAACGTCTTCCGTTTCATTCGTCTTTTTAGTTGTAGTTGTATTTAAGGTAGTCTTAAATTTGTTGCCGGTATTGCTAGGTTCAGAATCAGAATCTTCAACTTCGATTACGTCTGTTTTCGAAAATCCCAGTTTCGTGCCTACGTTGACCCTAGCAGAAGTACTATCAGCATTCATTTTGAAATGTGCTGTTTTTGATCGACTTTTGATATTGTTCGTGTCTGTCATACTAGGGTCAAGGAAAAAATATGTTCTAGTTACAACAAAATCGTTAATATCCGATTTCTTCTTTTGTTGCATTTCTCTGATATCACTAACATTTTCTCCATGTCTAGCTGCTAAGGGATCATAGTCAACGGTCTGCCTTTTGTTCGTTTCCTCCGAAGATAATCGTTGATCAACTGTTAAAGCTTCTCCGGATGAGCTGTTGCAGTCTATGAATTCTGTTTTGGGAGAGCTTTTAGTATCACAGCTTGAGTTATCGAGCTCCCTAAATTCCTCGAACACATCATCTTCCTCGTGTGGTTCTTGCTGGGAAGGTGAAACCGCAACTATGGGTGCCTTCAGGGCCGTCATCCCCATTTTTCTCTTCAAAGATTCTAAATATTTATGTATTTTCCTTTTCCTCACAATCTCTGCACTGATAGGTTTTCTGCCTCTCGTTTCTTTTTTCACGGTTGTAGTGGAAAGTCGTTTTACTGGATTCTCGATACTCTTTGGTTTCGCGTTTGCTTCATTACTAATTGCAGATGAGTTCTCATTCAATTTAGGTTTTTTAATCAAGGAATCGTTTCTGTCTGCGGTCGGTGCTCGTTTTCTTGCATTTTTTTTACTCTTTGGTTTTCTGCCTCTCTTTGACTTTTTCTTATCCGCGTTCTCTGACTCCACAACGATCGGAGCTTCACCACTAACTTCAGGGGCATCGTCATCCAATTCAGGTTCTTCGGTTCTATCGATAGTGAACGGCTGTTGGCTGGCTTTATCAATTTCACTTTGTCCTGCCGTTTGTTTTCCAGAAGATTCATTCGACCCGAAAGGACTTACTTCCAAGTCCGATATATTAACTATTACACCGTCATTTTGCAATATAGATGAAATCTTCTCCCAGGGATGTTTCGTAAATACGCGATATTGCTTCAAATAACTTATGGTCGCTTCATATCTGTGTGGGGCATATTCCAGGACGTAAGTTCTATGATTATTCAATGCGTTATTAGACGTCTTCATGCTCAGACCAAGATAACTTCCAAATTTCCGTCTGAATTGGTTCGTGTTGTATTTACCGAACAATTTACGTGCCATGGCACGTTGTTGCCCAACGCAAATGCTTGCTTCAAATAAAAATCCAGGCTCTTTAACAATGTAACCGTATTCGAACAAAAACCACAAAACATACAATGTGAGCGGGTATTTGGTTATGTATTTTACTTCGGCCGCAGAAAAGTACTTGTGAAATGATACGCTCAATAGTTTCTCATTTAAAAGCCACCGTAATCTGTCTTTTTCTAATTCACTGAGATGGCTGACCCCTTCAGTAGGTAGTTGGAATTCAATATCCTCATTAGTTTCAGCAGATGCCGTTTGTTCTGCTGTTTTCTTAGTTATATTCCACAAACAAGGCACGTATGGCACCAAATGCATACAATTTGTGTCAATCCCTTTATCGTTCGAGTATCTACTATGTCCAAGGTCACTAATTATTTCAGCCTCATCACTAGCTATGTCATCAATTTCTCCGCCTATATGCGTAGCATCTTCTCTATTTTCCGAGCAGCAAACTTGGCCCTCTAGTTCCTTAACGTTCTTCATACACAGCTCGTTTTCCAATATAGGTGACATCGCATTCCAAGTAAACTTCTCGCACCAAAACCTCAATAACAACACAAGTTCTTCGTATCTATCCGTTACATATTCTGAGACGTAATTCCGTAGATCAACGTCGTGATATGTCTTTGTGTCGTTTCGTAAGGCTGCTCCAAAAAAACGGTTAAACTTCTCTCGAAACAGCGTCTCCGACCTATACGACGATTGAGATTTTTTAAACGGCAGAAATGACAGTTTTGTCAAAGGTAGACTGGTTTCAAAGAGAAATTCGGGATTTCTCATAAGAAATCCATAGCCAAAATAAGACCACAGATTTTCCCAAGAAAACGCTGTAGATGTAATAGTTTTAAGTTCACTTTCAGAAAAGTATCTATAGTATGATTTGCTAATGAGATTTTTTTCCAATAACCAACGAAGTCTGTCTCTTTGCAACTCGTTCAGCGATCCAGCGAAAACGGTTTCACTCTCTAACGTAGTTTCGAATTCTACAGTTTTGGAATTTCTCCGATGACTTGATTCGCCGTGCTTTTTACGTGAATCTACGAGCAGATTTTTTTGAAATAGCGCTTCCCATGGACGAGGTAAATAAGGTACTATTTGCATGCGATTGCTTTGTAGAGGCCTGCATTCAAAACCAACTACACTTTGAGCATCATTATGACTGTTATTAAATACGAGCTTGTTATCGAGTTTTTCTGTAACAATGTTTGACCTTTCGTCGCTCGCTCCTCCCTTTACAACAGTGTTTTCTGCAATTGCAGAACAAAAAACTCTGCTGCCCAGGTACTGAATCTTGCGCACAGAAAGTTCTTGTTCCAAAATCCTTGACAACGTACTCCACGGATGTTTTGTAGACCAAAACCTGAGTAACTTGACAACTTCATCTAACCTATGAGTTACGTTCTCGGACAGGTAATTCTGTAAAATTTTGTAACTGGGAAGGGCTGTTTTAGAATTCACGGCGTAGTCTACGAATTTGTTAAACGTTCTGCTGAAGAACCTTCTATGACGTTCGATCAAAGGTAGATACGTTAGCTGCTCCAACGGCAGATCGGTTTCAAAGAGAAACTCTGGATTTCTTATTATAAAACCACATAAATAATAACACCTGAGGTTGTTTAAATTTAACGCTGTAGATGTAATGCTTCTGAGTATAGTGACAGTAAAATACTTATAACATGTCTTATTGAGCAGCTGTTTTTCTAATAGCCATCTTAGTCTATCTCTTTGCACTTCATTTAGGCAACGGAAAGCGTTAATTTCTTCTTCTTCCCTATTATCAAATTCTCTTGTCTCCGATTTTGCCTGTTTAGGTAATTTCCTTTGGTGACGTGAGTCATTCAAAACATTGTTCTGATCTGAAACTCTCCAAGAAGGAGGAGCGTAAAGGACGATCCGCATGTCATTTTTGACTGCGGCATTTTTCATGTCATCGTTTAGGGATACAACAATATCGCGATGCTTTTCCAATGTATCTTCTGGATGAAAATTCGCTTTTTCGCCGTTCTTATAATCACAGTCATCTGTGGTACAAGAAGTGGTCGAATCTAAGCCTCTTTTTTCATCTTGGCAATTACTTTCCGGACAATTGATTCCAAGACTCCAGCCATCAAAAGTGTTAGTGTTTTGGTTTCCGACGTCAATGTCTTTAGTATCATCGTCCGTTTGCACGTTACCGCTTTCGGCTTTGACAGGAGCAATCAGACTCCCGGGAATAAAAATTTTAAACGAACTCTCAGCTTCGATGCTTGGATCTTCCACTTTTGCGGACCAGTAAACTCTGCTTTCCAGCTCCTTAATATTACGTATGGAAAGTTCCTCTTCTAATATACGCGACACGTCGCGCCATCTATTAGTTGAAATCCAACTTCTCAGTAATCTTACGACTTCGTCTGGTCTATAAGGCACAGTTTCTAGCATGTAATTTCGCAAAATGCCACAACTGGGGTCATCTTCTGATTTAAGGGCTAATCTTAGGAAACTGTTAAGCTTTCTACTAAACGGTGTTTTGCGTCTGTATGCCGGAGGTCTACGTAATTGTAGATGAGTTTCGAATAAAAGCTCAGGATCTCTTGAAAGCAATCCGAGATGAAAATTGTGCCAGAGAACTTCCAAAGATAACGGCTCAGATGTCAAGGATCTGACCTGATTTAAAGGGAACAGCTTATAATATAATTTACTGAGCAGCTTGTGTTCCAATAACCAACCGAGTCTGTCTTTCTGCAATTCGTTGAGACACTGCAAAACAGCGATTTCTTCTTCTTCCATGCTGTTGCATTCCATCGTTTCCTTTCGAGGTCGATTACACTGTTTCCCAGGCAAATCTAAGGGAGGACATTTTTGGTCTGACGTTTGATAGTAGGGCACCAACTGCATGTTATTTTTATTGTGTCCATTGTTCTTTAACCTGTGGAACTCGAGCCCTCTGTCGTTCCCTTTAATCCTCGTAGATTCGTAAGGACTTGCTGTTCCTACATTTGATTCGTCAACGCCTATATCCTCCGTAACCGAGGGACGATAGATGCCGCTTTCTATTTCATAATCAGGATTCGGTTTTTCGAGAAGAATAATGTTGAAGGTACTTTCAAGTTCTTCAACACATGTGGGAGAGTAAACTCTACTTTTTAGTTCGTTAACGTTACGTATGGTAAGTTCGTTTTCTAATACGTGTGAAAGCTCGTTCCATTTCTTACTTGGAATCCAACTTCTCAATAATCGTACCACTTCGTCTGATCTATAAGGTACCGTTTCTAACATGTAACTTCGCAATGTGTAATACCTAGAGTTATGTTTCGCTGGATTAATAGCTAATCTCAAAAAACAGGCAAGCCTCCCACTAAATGGCGTTCTGCGTTTGTACGATGTTCGTCTATCTAATGACAGACTAGTTTTAAATAAAAATTCGGGATCTCTTAAAAGAAATCCTAAGCGAAAAAGGTGCCAGAGTTCTTCTAAGCACAACGCCTTAGATGTAATGACTCTAATCTGTTTGATAGAAAAAAGTTTGTAATATAGTTTGGTAAGGAGCTTTTGCGCCAATAACCAACGAAGTCTATCTCTCTGAACATCATTAAGGCATTGCAAAACAGCCATTTCTTCCTCTTCCACAGAGTCTTCATCAATCGTTTCCCAATTTTTCTGTGTAGCTCGACTATTTTGTTTCTCGGGCGTAATTCCCACAATCTCAACTACTTGCGTATTTGCGTTTACCCTTGGAGTCGATTCTCCCTGCTTGTCACGTGTATTTACATTTATCCATGGGCTAGCAAAATAAGGCACAATTTGCATGTCATTTTCAACATCGGCATCTATTCCCTTCCGACAAGTTCTTAATCTATCCTGTTCCAAGTTACCGAGACTGAAAACGTGATCTAACGTATTTGCAGCAGTTTCACACATCCAAGGTGTTTTTTGGCACTGTACAGGTTGCATATTACTTTGTTCACTTTGAACTGCGATCGATTTGGTACTGCTGAAACTTGTTTTTTTCTTCATGATTTTGCGCAAATCGCGTTTGATTTCTGCGAGGTATTTTTCGTGCATTATTTCAGCCATGACGGATAGGATGTTCGTGAGTTCAAGTTCACTGATTGCGTGTTGTAGGAACGCTAGAACCTCGGCGCGTCTGTATGGTATATATTCGATCAGATATCGCTTTAAAGACGCTGTATCTGCAGAGTGATTTGGTTGTAGTTTGCTACGAACAAAATCATTGAGCTTTTGTAAGAAAATGTTATATTCGGTCTTGTAAATGTAATTCCCGTTTACTGCATCCAATCGGTCTCCAGCTTGACGTCGAAACTTGTTATGTTTCTCGGATGAAAACACTATGGTAGCATCTTTTACAAGCAATCCCTCTTTGAACGAACTCCACAATTCAAAAAAATTACACGTGCCTAATAACGATGCTATTTGATCAAAATTAAAATAGATAAAGCAATTTTCACTCATGATTCCATTTTCTACCAACCACTTTAATTTTTTGTATCTACTGCCTAAATGGACGAATTTAAAAATGTCTCTTCGTTTCAAATTCAGTGAATGCATATTCAATTCCGTCACCTTATCTACATTATCCTTGAATCCATATAGATCACATTTCGTTTGATACAGCGCTTCTTGAGGCAGTACATGAGCCAAAACATATGAAATTCCAGTCCAATCAAATTTACCCAACGCACGATCTCTAAGATACGCAATAACTTCAATACGTCTGTACGGTATATATTCCGACAGATAGTTCTTCACGTGGGTTTTAGATTTCGTATGGTTTTGGTTTTGTAATATACTTTGAAGAAAAATATCCAGTTTCTGCATAAATGTATTCACATCGAATTTATAAACATGGCTACCATACAGTTTGTGAAAATTCGTATGTATTTTCGCAGTTGGATCTCTTATTAAGAATCCTCTCTTGAAGCTACTCCACAGACTGAACAAATCATTGCATGCGGTCAAAGAGTTCATCGCACTAATGTAGAAATAGCGTTTGTATCTCTCACTGAGAAATCCTTTTTCAACCAACCATCTCAGTTTCGTGTCCCCATTCGTCAAACTCGAGAAAGTAGTAACGTCGCGTTCTGTCAACGTCGTCGAATTACTTTCAGTTTCGGGCAAAATCTCGCACCACTCGGCCGTTGAAATAGGTACGCGTTGCAACCAGGAAACCTCTTCGTTATTGCTGTTCAGTTTCATATTGATCTCATTTGCATCAGCTGATATTATCGGTAATTGTATATCAGTCCAGCCCTTTCTTCGCTTGCCTGCCGGATTTCTGCGTCTTCTCGGTGCGTTTGCAGGAACTTCAGACGTTTGCTCACTTATACTCTCAAGGTTTGTCATTACTTCAGCAGCATTTTCTTTAAAATGAACGAGACTTGCATTTGCCACGTCAGCATGAAATTCAGACGTCGTTATATTCATCATATCAAGACTTGTTTCTTTGGCAAGAACATTTGATGTGCTGGTTACTTCCTTCGGCAAAACAGGCAATTCGTCATCACTAATGTCTTCTAGATCCAGACTAAGGTATTGGCGGCACGTTGCCGAGTCTTTGGAGTCATTCTCATTACGATCGCGCATCCTACATACATCACACGATTTTTCCACATGCTGTAACTGATCAACGTCGCGTTCAAATTCATCGGCTCTTCCTATCAATCGATCTTCTTCAAGGATTTTAGATACTTCAGTCAAAGCGAATGTTTCAGAAGCAAGGGTCATCGCTTTTACGGCTGCTACGAGGTCGTTGTACCTATACGGGGCATAATCTAACATGTAGTTTCGTACTTTAGCTACTTCCTGTCCCTTGAGATATCTGAGTAGCTTTCTGAACAACTGATCCCCTGAGCCGTTCGAGTAAAAATGCGCAACGGCATCATTACATCCAGATTCATGGCTATGCAAGAGAATCTTTTGTTTGTCTAATGGTAAGTTCTTTTTGAACAAACATCCGGGATATCTGATAATTTTTTTGGACCTATACAAGTCCCACAATCTGAACATAGAAATAGTTTTTGACGATATGAAGCGCCAGCTGTCCGGTTTCAAGTATGTGTAGCACTTTTTACCTAGAAGATTATGACGCAGAAGCCAACGTATCCGATCCTTCTGAGTTTCATTGAGGTGTTTGCAATGATCAGTAATAATTTGTTCATCAGTTTGAGAAAGCGTTGTATCTGCGAAATCGAGTTCTTCGCCAGATAACTTTTCATATCGAATAATGCAAATTTGATCCTCTGAATGTTGATCTCTTTCAGGAATTGTATGTTCTTTTTTATATACCATCAGTTGCATTTTATTTTTCGTTGCTTCTCGCTTATGTGGTTTTATGCGCGGTTTCAAGAATAACGATGGATCTAAAGTGTCTTCTTCAGCACCAATATCTTCTATTTCAAAATCGCTACCGTTCTTCAAATCGTCAGGAATCGAGGTTTCATTTTGACCAGTGCTATTTTCAGGAGCCGTTAAGGCGTTTTCGGTTATCGGTTGTTGAATTCCGAAAACTTTAATTTCTAGATCCGTTATGTTTTGAACTAGCCCGTCGCCGCTTAACACAGACGATATTTCACTCCAACTGTGTTTGTTCGATAACGCGTACTTTACAGTGCAAATAAGTTCGTAGAGTCTATATGGCGTGTACTCTATTAAATAGTCCTTTATTCCAAAGCAATTGCGACATCTACGTTGCGGTTTCATTTTTATGTATCTATAAAGCTTTTGGCAATATTTACTATGGGATATTATCGGCCCCTTGCCGTAGATGCTTGATGAGAAATTCGTCCTTTCCGCTGCGACGCTACGCTTACCTTTCTCGTCGAATAAGAACGCAGGGTCTCTGATTAACCATTCCAAGGTAAACAAGACCCATAACCTTTTAACGGTTAACCTTGCTTTCGTAATGAAATTCACATTTTTTCGTTTCAGATATTTAAAGTATTTCTTTCCTAAAAGCTCGTGATCTAGCAACCACTGTAATCTGTGTTTCTGCACGAGATTAAGATCTGCGATAATATGCTGTTCCTGTGCTGTGAACGTGTGATGAACTTTTTGAGCAAAAGCGAGGCAAATGTCTGATGTTTCTTTCTCTTCAACATCTTCCAATACCATCGTATCTGTTGGAGCAGCGGGAGTTGGCTTTTCATGAAGTTTGAGTTTCTTGGATGGAGATTCATCGATGTCCCGGTTTCTCGTGCGTTTTCTCGACGAGTTGGAAACTTCGTCGCTTTTTGTCGTTTTAACCAGCACTTTTTTTAGTTCGGTCGTATTCTTAAACATGAGTTCGCGATCAAGTATTCCTAGCACGTCGCGCGTCGGTACTCCTTTATGTACAGCGTGCTCGGCAGCTAACCGAACCTCGTCGTACCTGTACGGCATGTACTCGGTGAGATACATCTTTCCGTATTTATATATTTCTCGATTGTACGGACCCAACATCAGAAACTTGAACAGCGTTTGGAAAAACCTTCCGCGACGACAGGTGTCTTCATCCATAACCTCCCCAGGTACTAACCTAGGATTTCTCAACAAATATCCCTGTTCGAATAGTTGTTTCAATCTTGCATTGGACAAAAGCTCTGACGTCATATTCTTTATATCCACCTTCTTTAAATATTCGTGATAGTTTTTGCTGATCAAGTTTTTGTCCAGGAACCACTGCAACCTTTCTTTCTCAACTCTACTAAGATGTTTCTCAGCGTTGACGATCGGGCTACCTTGTACCAAAAAGTGCGGATCCTTCGCCAAATATCCGTCAAAATACAACGCTTGCAGTCTGTTCGGAGTAAGTACTTCGTCTAAAAGCTCGCATACCTGTTTGCGTTTTAAGCCGTCCGTAACGGTGTCGCACAGTTTTCTATTGGCTAATCTTTTGCGTAAAAGATACTTGAATCTCCTAGTGTGATTAAGGTCTAACCAAGGAAACGAGTTTTTGTTCAACTTTTTGTACAATTGGTCTATTTCTGATTGGGTTAAGGTTGAGCTAGGCGGTTGCACCGATTCGACTGCTTTGCTATCAACTTCATCGGCTTTATACGCGCACAGTGTAGCAATTTCTTTTTCTTTAATAATCGCGTCTATCAGCTGAGACCCAGCGTGAGATTTTGAGCATGAGACAATCGTAGATGGCTCAGTTGCCTGACTCCTCGCACTGTCAGCTGCCTTATCAGAATTGCAAGTGTTGTCAATGTTACAGACCACAGGATCATCATCATCATCGATGCTGATATAAGCGCAAGGCTCGGGTAACTTTGTACCATTATCATTACAAATATCGGATGGCGATGGCGGTTCTTTGTGCCCAACACCGTCTGGATTAGAAACGGGTGATTGATACGGTTTTTCGCTGGCTGTTTCTGGTATGCGTTTTTGTATACAAGGAGAAATAATATTGGGATCAGGCACTTGTCTAATATAAGAGCAAGGCTCGGTTAACTTTGTATCCTTATCATTAGAAATATCGGATGGCGACGACGCGCTTGTGGTTAATTGAGGAGGTTGTTTGTCCGGACTATCTGGATTGAAAGCAGGTGATTGATACGTTTTTTCGTTAGCTATTTCTAGTATGCGTTTCTGTATACAATGAGAAATAATATAAGGATCTGGCACTTGTGCGGGGAAAATGGTAAACGCACTATATGAGGCGACTGGGAGTAAGCTGGGCATTGTCACGGCGCTAGTATCACTGCTTGTATCGTGCGAAATAACTTTACACGAGTTTATACATTGCGAACTTTGATCCGGCATATCTTTGACGACATTTGACTCATCGTGATCATCGCTGAGAGTTACGATGGACGAATGTTGATCAAGACTTCTCGGCTTCACGGATCTTGCAATTTTAACAATGTCCGTCGGAGCTTTTGGCAGCTGGTCGTCGGATCGTTGGAACCTATTAGTATTGACAACTCTCCATACGCTGTGCGTACACGCTTGGCTAGCATCTTCAAGAGACTTCTGCGTAATGGAGGCAAAATAAGCTGAAAAATAAAATGGTTGCATAATATTCCAGATGTTGTCCCAAGAAATATGTCGTACGAAAACCGTAAAAAAGTCTGGCGTTTTAAGTTATGTCCTCAGTGACATTAGCAGTTTTACACCCAGAAAAAATAATTTATTCAACATGATTTTTTGGCAATGAGGTAGTCTTACATCAAGAATGAAACGATAACATTCGCACGAAATTTTATCGACAAGTAATAATAATAATAGCGTTTATTTGCAGAGCAAAAGAAATACAAAGAGAAAATAATTAAAAATGAAGAAACAACATGAATTCCCTGCAAAAGGGACTAGTAAACATACGAGCTGATGAAAGTACTAGCCCAACAAACAAAATTACAACAGAGGAGTTCTTAACCAAGTTAATATTAGTAATAAATAAATAATAATTGTAACCAACAAAGCCACTAACATGGTGATAATTTGGACTTCGAAATCGAGGCATTTTGTTATAGTTAACATTAGTAAACGAAAGGGCAATAACTAAAAATATCTGTAATACTGCTTTCTTCACAAAAACTAAGAGATACCATTTTGACAATATAAAGTACTTGTAATTTAAAGATATTTAAAAAAAAAATTGAAGCAACATTTCGTGGACAATGAAAATTCTTATCGATTGAAATTTTGTTTTTTTTCTGAATGTCTGTATGTTATGTAATTGTTTAGCTTTTTAGAAGAATGTAATTGTAGCAATCATGCTAAATAAATCTTAAACAAGCAAACAAACAAAGGTAAACAAAGATAAAACGTCGACATTGCCACAGCATACTTTAAATTAGTCATTATGTAACCAAAAAACATGATGAAGAAATTATTTTTTCTTTGTGTAACACTTCTAATGTCACCGAGTATAATAATAAATCGATCCATTCACCAACAGTATACTAGAAACATATATTTTTTCGCTTTCCGGACTTATTGAGCATTGCTCCTCGAATTTACAATACACAATCCAGCGATCCAGTGTTCTGAACCAGTTAGATTACACTATTCAGTTTAGAAACAAAAGAGAATTGTCAATTTTAAATTTCTTAACCACAACACGCTACGACCCCGCCTCAAACAGCTTGACTTGTATATTAAACGACGCAAATCCTGACCGTAGTTTAGGAGCTATAACCTTGCCTGCAAAGGTCACGGTCACTCGAAGAGAATTGAAAAAACGTTGCAAAACACTGTCGCAATCATTTACAAAAAACAGTGCACCATCAAAGAACTTTAGTAGAAGATTATTGGTAATACTTACGAAAAACATCTTCTTTTCTGTCGCTATCCGTCTTTTCCCTGCAATTGAAAATAGAGATTCAGTGACGGAGCGCCGTGGTCGCGAAATCCATAACAATCATGTAAGAGTAAAGTATGAAACGTTCTCAGCTCCAGAAAGAATTTTCACGATTAAAAGCAATCAAACATGGTTTAAATATGTGAAATAAGCCAGGTGTGTCATCCTGAACAAAAATAATTCATTTGTTGCTACGATGAAGTTAAAAAACTGCCAGTCGATGGACAAGAGATCTTTAACACATTCGCAGATGCCTTAATGCAGAAATTTCAGCTGAGACACTGTCGCCTGTATTCACCAAGCGTTAATAACAATTTGACTCAGTGACAGTTTCTTTAAAGGCCCGAAAATTATTTTTTTCGTATCCACATTGGATAAAGACTGATAAAAGTCTCGTTAATCTGTCAGGCCAATTCCACACAGAGAAGTAGATGACGAGGGTGCTGCATTTTATATGTCACTTAGTATATGTCAAAAAGTTGGGTTATACAAAATTTTTTATATGTAACGTCAACATTGTCAGTTGATAATTTCTTTTTTGTATTGTTATTCAAATATAAAGAGAATGGGTCTTTAGATATCGATTCCAGTTCTTCATCATCGGCCCAGTCCTCTGCAGGCTCCACAAGTAATGTATTGGGTTTAACTGATTTCCGGGATGTAGTAACGATGAATCGGTACTTTGGTAACCTAAGATGATTTAAATTCTTTACTCTATCGATAGCTTGTCCTTTACTTACCCCTCCTGCCGTTGGAATGCTTCCTCGGGCAGCAAGTTTTTCTTGAATAGTTCGCTGAACAGGTAGAGAGCTTTCGTAACATCGTACTCGCAGTATTCCAGGAGCCTGAAATGTATATACCAATGTTGTAACTGCTTTTTATTGTTCACAGTCCCCTGACAATTTTTGGGAACGGGGACTGTTTTATGCTACAGGGAACTGTTTATTTCAGGCAATGTCAAGTTTAATTAGCCAGACTATACTGCAGGGACAATTAATTTTCAAAATATTGGATTTCTTTCATTTAATTCACGATTCCAGCCAAAAAAGAGCCACCCAAAACCAGGGAAAAATCTTAAAACAAAAACTTGTGGCCGAACGTTTGAGATACGGACGACTTTTGTAGACCCAGTACAAGCAAGGTGTCCTGGAATTACAATGGTCACGACTAACGATGAAGCTATACAGAAAATGACTGAAGATATTAAAAAAAAAGGGGTGAATGCCGGAATTTCAGAATATCCATCTAAAATATGAAGGCAATGGAAAACACAGAGTCGAAGTTGAATATGAAGTTAAATTTGAGACAGTCGTTATCTTACCTGATACCAACTCTGTTTCAGAAACCCATGTTCCACAGCCATGTACACAGTCTAATACTAATTCGGAGAATATTGCCAAGCGTAGTATAATCAACCAGTACAATATCGGTGATTATAGTAATGTTTTCTGTTAAAGAAGTAGAAGTGACAGTCGCTTTTTCGAAAATTTGTGACAAAAAGGGCCATACGTTTAGATTTAACGACACCGATATTTCTGATGTTCCTTTGGACCAAATATTGGAAAAGTTACCAAACCCGGAACTAACTCCGACAGGGAAAATATTGTTTTGTTACTTTCCAGTGTTTGAAAAATAGGTTGGCTTTAATATTTACTTAAAGTGCAATAGTAAGACTGATTTGTTGTAAGCTGTAATAGTTATTATAAGAATTGCTAGTTAAGTAATGCTTCTTAGCTCAGAAACTGTATAGTACTAAGTTAATTAATTTCAGAAATTGTTTTTTCCTAAATATTCAAACTTTATTTTACTATAGTAAAATAAGTAAAAACAAAGTTCAATTGCTTACATTCAGTTAAAACATGTTTTTTTTCTCTCATATAAACATTCCCCTGAATGAGATAACAGTCCCCTGTCGTCATTTTTTATAAATTTATCCATAATTCAAAAATAAATAGCATTATGTTTGGTCTTTTCAACCGGCATACTACTTTTATTAGTATGTCTCAATTTATCTTTACGTTTTCTTAATTTATAAGAATAATATGATTGGGACAGTTTTGTATGTGCAACTTTCCAGTTAGTAGAGAAACACTGAGAAACATGAATAACATAGTTTGAACATTTCATGTTCTTTTGAAACTAGCTCCTTTTTTGCTTGTCTTCGAAACGAAAAGGCAGTTTCCGAACTATCCACATTACGATTCATTTTTTTAAAAGTATTTTTATTCAAATAATCGAATTTTTAAATGTTATAGCGGGTAATTATACTTGATTTTGAATTTTGAAATATCAGGTCCCCTTCAGGGGAGAGCACTGAACGTTGATGAAGATTATTGAGATTAAAAAAAAACTTGGAATAAAAATAGGATTATTTTACATTGTACAATAAATTTATTATTAATTCAGAAGCAAAAATCTAAATCCAAGTGAAAAAAGTATTATTCATATTAAAATATGATCTTAATATAATGTAATTTAATTTAGCGTTTATTTGTTGTCGTTACGAGTACATAATTATAATAAAAAATTAAAATATAATCCAGAGATATACAATTAAGTGGACTTTTTTCTCTCGACAAAGTAAGTAAGACACCAAAAAAATTTAAGAGACAAAAAACTTGCATTTCCATTTGCTTACTCCAAAAATTGCAAAAAAGTCAGTAACGCACATTTTTTTGTCACAATATATATATATATATATCGTCCGCAAATATTTGAATTTTGCAGAGTTCTAAAATGTAAGAGATATCATTTATATAAATAATAAATAGTAACGGCCCTAATTTACTCCCCTGTGGCACCCCTACTGATATATTTTGAACATTTGACATAATATTTCCAACTTTAGTTTTTTGACGTCTATTTACTAAATAATTTTGTAAAATGTGTAATACTGATCCTTTAAAGCCATAGTGACGCAATTTCATTAACAATTTTTCCCTATCTATAGTCTCAAATGCCCTTTTGAAGTCTAAAAATATTGTTACAATATTATATTTTAAATGATGTATTTTACACTAAAATGTATTCACAATACTTTGACTTTACAAATCATTTTGAAGCGCGATTCCCGCTCTATCTAGTCGTTGAATTCGTTTTGTTTTTTTAAGACTTCAAATATAGGATGGCTAACAGGCAAAGTCGCACGAGTTTCTTATTCTAGTTCAAACTAGATCGAAAATCTGCCGAGGCAGCTCGCGATATAAACGATGCTTTCGGCTTTGGCCAAGGAACCACTAACGAACGTACGGCACAATGGTGGTTTAATAAATTAGAAGCTTGATGTGGGTATTCCGACCATTTTCCCCCACTTGAAACCGACCCTGCAAAAGCTGAACGAATTGGGTTATCAAACTCTGCCTCATCCACCATGTTCACTGTACCTCTCGCCCACCTACTGCCACTTTTTCTAACACCTAGACAATTGCCTTCGCGAGAAATGCTTCAATAACCATGACGATGGCAAAAATACCTTCAATCAGTGCATCGCCTCCAGAACTCCGGACTTCTACGTTAACGACATAAATAAACTTGTTTCTCGTTGGCAAAAGTGTATTGACTCAAATGGTTTTCATTTTGATTAATAAAGTTTTGTTACAGCTGAGATATGCTCCTTTGAATTTGAAGGTCAAAAACAGCAAGAACTTTCCGAACAACCTAATAGCTTAGTTCAAAGCGTCGATAACCACCACCGCAACAAATAACAAAATTACACGAAAAACTCACAATTTGGAGTACTTCAGGTTTAGCTTGCACAAATTCTGCGCGAGCTCGCCAACGGCCTCGTATTGTTCTGGATAGAACGGCAACAGGTTCCCGAAATACGTCGTCCTCAACGGGAACGAAAAGCTCCATCCTAGCTGGTAGTCTGTCACGTTAGAGACGGTCATCTGGTCGTTCGATATCGTGTACGAGCCTTTCAGGTACTTCAGCACGAACGTCCTGCTGAAGCCGAGGACCTGGTCCAGCTCTTGGAAGATGCCGCCCACCGTTATCACTGCGCACTTGGGCTGAATCAAAATTAGTCGTGTTATAAAGGATGACCCGAGATTCAAGCAAAAAATTAAATAAGAAACAGTTTATTCGCTGTGTGCACGATGATTATAACTATTCGGGACATATCAATTCTTCACAATTAGATAATGATACAGAATTATTATAATTCCATTTACAGGACAAAGAATTGAAACCTGGCATAACACTAAAAAAAAAAACAATACTAAATTGTACAAGTTTAAGAGAATAAACAAACATTAATGTCACATGTATAACGCTATTTGAGGCGCTGCCGTAAAACACTCTTGATTTGAGGAAGATGGTACCCCTGAAGATGCTGTATAGCTAAAAGATTCGAAATGTTTGGCTAGTATCTAATCGAAATTAATTAAGACCAAAGGAAAGTACTTTAAGTAATGTGCGTACCTGAACCAAAAATGAATGTAACTTGAATCCATAAAACATAATTTAAACTTCCAATCTCAAGCTATGCAAAAAGAAGAAATTTGTGTTATCACAGCGTGTGAGAGACGATGAAGAACTTCATTGTAGTCTGATTTTGATGCAATTTTCAGCTCAACAATCAGGCGAAAATTTTATATATATCTAATAAACTGTAACTATTTATGTGGAATCTAGTAGTTTTCGAAAAATAAAACTATTTCTTATAAAAAATTGCTAAATTTGAAGCTTCTACATTTAAGAGCATTAGTGACTGCTTTTTTTGTGAGATTAAACTATGTTACAACGTTTTTGAGAAAATAAATTGTTAAATAGTTACGTCATGTTTAGTTTATAAAGGCATATTTTGGTACAAATCTTGAAGTGAGCCAACTGAAGTGGGAAGGGGCTCGTATATATATATATACAGGGTGACTTTGAAGTTGAGTCATTAATTTTCAGATAATGATTGTAGAAGGAAGATAAACCAAAATATGTGTGTAAAAATAAAAAAAAAATAAAAAAAAAGTTTTACCTTGTTTTATAAAGTATCCTCCCGACAAGTATTTCAGTGCGGACCTGTATTTGATCGTGAGGTCCCCTGTGAGGTCTTAAGTCACCTGATTCACGAGCCCGTTGTACTACATTAACAAAGGCCCTCGTTTGAGCCACGCAACAGATATCACTATTCACTGATACTGACTGTATACAAATGAATGAAACAATATAAAAACATCGTTCCAAATTCTTTCGCTTTTTTGTTTCCGATGCGATGAACCGATACGGCGGATTATATCCGTTGTCGCCAAACACGAGCACATTGAGACAGGGCGGTACTCAAACTTCCAAAGGGCTATAACTTTGTTACTTTAATTTTACCAGAAGAATGGTAAAGGAAAAAAACATTTATTTTGATCAGATCTACTCACTGTTAAAATAAATGACTCAACTTCGAAGTCACCCTGTATATATATATATATATATATATATATATATATATATATATTATCTAAAACCTTATATACCCGTAGGTGTAAGGTCAAAGGTAAATATGTTGTGATTATATTCTATGTAACTGGGTTGATATACAGGATGATTCACATGCCGGGACCAAAAATGAAACATCATACACAAGACCGCATTTAGAGGGGGGTCTTGTATGTAACATTTTTCTCTCGAGAGCTTCATTAAAAAGATACGGGGTGGGGTGTTGAAGCTTAGAAATAAAAAATATTTTATTTAATATCTTCAGAACCAAATTTTGGTTCATTACAGTTGACGGTTTTGAAGATATTAAACATTTTTTATTTAAACTTCAAGACGTCTTTTTAATGACGCCCTCGAGCAAAAAATGTTACATAGAAGACCGCCCTTAAAAGCCGGTCCTGTGTATGATGTTTCATTTTTGGTCACGACTTGTATGGAGCTATCTTATTTTAACTAGATGTAAACTTCGGTATAATTTTTGGGAACCTGAATTCCCCAACTTATATTTGGTCGGGAGTTTTTCGTAAATTACACTTATATTGTTGTTTAAAGGTTCAGTGTACATTGTAGAAAGTTAGACTTTATGTCTTACAGCGCTGTTGTCAGGATGATTGTATTATTATTACTATTAAGTTACGGTTGAGTTTTAATGGTTCATACGGTTAGGCTTCGCCCTTGAAATAACGACGTTGTTAATGTATTTTCCGCTTCCCACTTACCGTAAAGATTACGAGATCACAGACGAACGTATAGACATCATGTTGGCTCTTTGGAAAGGTTTTGAAGAGCTTTATAATGTCCCCTCTCGATTGTACTGTGAAGGGGTATTTGTAGCCATAGTGTGACAATCTGAAAGAAACAATAGTTCGTTACATACCTTGGTCGAGAAGTATACCATTATTGGCAGAGCACTTTTATATCCTAAAGCGTTCTCCACCACCCATCTTTTTGCAAAATTCATCCTACACTCAGCAACAAGCTAATTTTTTGTCAAATTCGTAACGTCACAACTTTTTTATTTTTAACTCGATTTCATTGATTTCTCTCAATGAAATCGGGTAACAAATAAAAAAGTTATGACGTTACGATTTTGATCAAAATTTTGCTTTCTGTGTTCATTTCGGACCTGAGTGTAGTATGAAATTTGCAAAATTCACAATGACATAAAAAGGAGTGTTCGAAAGAGTCGCGAACCCTGAAATCGGTAAAGGCGGACTTCTGTTTCTGGGTAGCGGTACTACACTTTTCAAAACCGACGCTTTCTTAAAAATTATACCTTATAAAAGCCCATGCTTATGAGGAAATCAATATTTGTGTTAGACTTTTTTCCGCTGTTCCGATTTTTACCGTTTGAATATCCAATGGTCAGGGTTATATTCAAAGAATCCAACCACCGGAGATATCTGTCATGCAGGATTACTGTATACCGTATTATTTACCTAACTGAACATGAGCTCTTCTGGAAAGGAATCACTCGAGCATTTACAGAGAAGAAAGCATCCTCCTCGTAAAGATCTTTCAAATCTTCACGCTCTTCCGAATCGTAGATCGTGAAAAAATGTTTCATGAATTGATCCGCCAAGTCGTGAGCATGAGGTAGGCAGATGAAGTTCTTCTTGAATTGCGTGGCTGATACATCATCCCCATCCTTAAAAAAATAGCTTATTTCACTGTCCAGGCACAAGGTGGTAATACTAAAATAACGTTGTGTTTTTGATGGTTGAAACGACAGTAAACTTTTACTTTGTGGTTTCACGTTGCAGCCAGTATAACGAACCTTGAGAAAGTTTCAGATAAACTTACCATACCCGATATATTAAGGCCAAAACAAAAATAAAGGATAAATTCACAACAATGTGGAAACGAACATTCATCAACAAAAGCAGGTGGTATAAGATAATTCAAGAAGAATTCCCGGTCAAACCATTTTACTCCAAAATACCCTATATAAGCAGAAGACACCTAACAGCCATAATCACAATGAGAATGGGACATACAAGATATAAAGCTCACATGTTCAAAATAGGAATGGAAGATGACCACTTCTGTGATTGTGGACAATATGCAGATTTAAATCATATACTATTTGAATAACCAATAAATCAAATATTAGGTTTTAATCTATATGAAGAGATACGAAAAGCTGGATTCAATGTCCCCTTCAACGTTCAATTAATACTTGCAAATGTCAACATGAAAGTCATATACCTATTAACCTACTTCATTCAGACAAACAAAATAATATTATAAATGTTTCAGATCCCCATCTTCTAAAACCCTGGGTGCTATAATCCTTTTCCGAGGCAATATTTAGGGTGTGTGTAATGTACTTCCGTTGCCCGGGTACGAGAAAAGTATATACCTGTGTTGTGCTATCTGTCTGACCAACCTCCTCACACCACTTTAGAAAGCATGAATAAAGGTTTTCATTAAACATAAATAGCAACATCCCACCTCTAGAAATAATACAGCAGAATATACAGCTGTATTTTACAGCATTTCTACACGAGAATTCGAGACAATACAGTGACTCGTACATGGCCGAGAGCCAGACAAAGTACAGTCACAACAAATGAGCCGGCGGATTGTACACATGTACAGAAGTCAGAAGGAATGAAGAAGAAGAGGAAAATTCCAAAGTGGCAATATCACTCTGCTTGACGAAGACCGGAGTGACGTACCAACAGATAGAGGAGACCCTTGAAAAAACGAAGTTTAAGAGTTTTAACTTCGACTTGAAAAAAAATATTTAAAAACAGAAAATCGTAAACAGATCTAAGTGCCTCATTATACAATTCTGAAAAGGGTCTATGTGCCTTATTAGGCTTTTTTGCAGGTTTTATATCACCTCGATAAGTTTTGTACTCTAAGCCACTTGTCCTCGGACTTTTTTGTTCATTTTTCACACTTTCTGAACCTTTTGCCCTTCTTTTTCGTTCCATTTACAGTTAAAACATGGAAATGACACAACGGAACAACACTGTCAGGAAACCAAATCTGCTTCAAAGCTTTGGCACATAGACCCTTTATTAATAAAATGTATGTTGGCACTTACAGGGACCACCATCTATTCGACAGATAATAAACACCTAAATGAATCGCTAGCACTTATTACCTTTGCAATAATATTAGGGATGGCACATAGACTCTTTTCTCATGAATAATTGAAAATATTTGTTTTTGGCACTTAGTCCCTTCAGAACTTACACTCTTCAATTATTGATCAATGAAGAGAAAAATAGAAGAAAATCTTGTATCTTACCAGTGTCTTAAGATTAGGTAGCAAATTCTTGACATCGACAACATAATTATAATTTTCATAATTGCTACACAGTGGATTGTGCTCCAGTTTGAGATTCTTTATACAAGGTGCATCTGATATCCCTTTTATGTCTTGAATGTGTTCAATCTAAAATAAGTGAAAACATAAGTATAACAGGATAAGAAATCAATAGTGTAACTAAAGAAAATATAATTACAGTTCCCTTGCTATTGATATTTTCGCATTTTTAAGAATGCGTGAGTCTATTGAAGTATAGTTTCTGATTGTTTATGAACTTATGAACAATATTAGTCTCGGGACCAAACATTGCAATATCAACGAATGTGAAAAAATTTCTCATTAAATTTTTATTCAGATTCAGAATGGATTATCAAAATTTAAAAATGTGCAAAACGTATTGGGATATAAGTTACCTTATTATGCGACAAATCAACGGTTTCTACTTTTGACTCTTTAAGCACATCCATACATGTGATGTGCCTAATGCAATTATCCTTCAAATTTAATTCCTTTACATTTTCTAAGTCGTTAGACAAAAATGTAACAAACAGTAACATTCTTGGTTCAAATAATGGGCAATACTCTTCAAGGCCTGAAAAAAAAAATGTAGTTAACAACTAGGAACAAACAGCTCACAAGATAGATATTAGCAACTGCTTACCTTTATCAGCAGCGAAATTGGACAAATCCAATACTCCCGTTTCTTTATTGAATCTTGTTTTCAATACTTCTAAGATATTTTCAGACCGATCAATTTCTACCACGGATGATTCACAAAAATTAGCAACTATCGCAGCCTCAAACTAGAATTCAAAGGAAGGGTTTACTTTTAATGTGGATGGAATGGATCCTATTCTCAAACTCGCAACATCACAATATCAAATGTAAGTTTGCAGACAGCTTACAACTTACAAGTAAACTGCTCATAACGAACTCTACAATGACATATCACTGACCCACTATTATTTTTCTAATGTCACATATGCTAAAATATAATACTTACATGAGCTCCGATATTATTTTCGGGATGTTTATGTGGGAAATGTGGTATCTGGAAATTATTATTCACAATTTTTAATAATGCTTCTTTGCATCGCCGTGCCAGAAATCGCACTTCTGTAGCGCATTGAAAGTAATGGCATGGAATAAGCTCAGATGGGTACACAAAATCCAGTGTACTTTTCAAAATATATAATCGATCGTATGTTTTTATTCCTGTGAACTGAAAATAAAAATTTTTTGTGAATCACTTTATAAGGCTAAGATTTATAGTTGGTATGTAAAATGATTTTTCCGAATCTTGGTGAGTCCATAGTGAGACCTTGCAAAGGCATTTGACACAGTGCCTCATGACTCTCTTCTAGATGTCCTCGATATTTATGGGATCAGGGGTGTTGTGTCGGTGAGGTTTTTGCGAGTTACTTGACAGGCAGAATACAGATGACTAAAATCGGAAATGTGATCAGTGACTCGTCAGAAATAGAAATGGGCATACCACAGGGCACCGTTATTGGGCCATTACTATTTATATTATATATAATCTCTTTGACAGATATTATTCTAGAAAATATATGGGGGTTTCATATGCTGATGACACCGTCATGGTCTTTGTGGTGATTAGAAAAAATAAAATGTTGGCTTGATTCATCTAAACTTAGTTTAAATGTGGATAAAACTAATTACATAGCCTTTTTTACTTAACACCTGCAAATTGACCAAGTTTTAACAGCATACAAGTAGACGGCTTTGAGAATGCAATAAAAGAGGTACCATACACCAAATACCTTGGTGTAATAATAGATCAAAATCTTAAATGGAAGCAACATGTGCTTAGATTAACTAACATCTTATTAGAAAATTTTACATGATCAGATAAATTTTAAACAATCTTTTATTAATCTGTGTCTAAAAAGCCCTAGTGGAGTCATTGCTCAGATACGGGATAATTGTCTGGGGAAGTTTATATTAAAACCTTTCAAAACTATCGAGAATTACACATTAAAAATAATTTTTAGAAAAAACGAAAGATATCCTACTTGTCATCTTTATAGTGAAAAAATACTTGCTTTAAGACCATTGTATATTTTAGAAGTCTTTAGGTATAAAAATCCTTTAATAAGAGAATATGTTAGGCGTCCTTATTCAACAAGAAACAATGCTGATAGAAATCTAATAATACCCAATAGTTTCACAAGCATAAACTTAAGATCAATTGACTGTATTGGTCTGAAAATCTGCAACATTTTGCCTGGGACACTGAGGATGATAAATAAATTAAAATTCATAAATTAAACTTACAGTACCGAGCAAAAGTAGAGAAACAAACCACATTACAAATAAAAATCCAGAAAGATTTAATCTAACCCAAAACTGTACCCTAAAGTTTTTTATGTATGACTACCTCAAGATAATGAAATGCTTATCTTTGTATACATTCTGTTTTTTTTCCCAATATAGTATGGTCCGTTCTTTGTTCAATGAGCAAAAGTAGAGAAACATTTTGTAAATATTTAGTTTATATTTAGTAGTTGATTAGAATAGGTGTTATTTTTTAGTGTATTTGGTAAAGTGTAGTTAAAAAACATGGCCAGAGGAATCACATTAAATTGGCAAATAAAAGAATTGATTATTTTAAAATATCGATCAGTAATTTGCAAAACTATTGAGCTGTTCCGCCTCAGAAAATCGTTGGTTAGCCCTCCTAAGACAGGTAGACCGCGAAAAACCACACCTAGGATTGATTGGAAAATTAAAACACTTGCTCTTAAAAATCCATTTACTACTGCTTATTTCCAAGAAAAATCGGACCGCCGTCTTCAATTTGCTTACAATCATTTGAACTGGTTAGAAACAAGGTGGAATTCTGTATTATTTTCTGATGAAAGTAAATTTAATTTATTTTCATCGGATGGCATTTAATGGGTAAGACATCCTAAAAACAAGCAATTTGATCCTAAGTTTACTTTAGGCACAATCAAACACGGAGGCAGGAAGGTTCAAGTATGGGGTTGCTTCTGTGGTCTTCAAATGGAACCCATCATCAACATTGAAAGAATTATGGACCAGTACCAATACTTGGAAATATTAACTGATACCATGGTACCTTACACAGAAGAAAATATGCCAGTATGCTGGCGGTTCCAGCATGACAACAACCCCAAGCACACAGCGAAAATAATAAAAATATTTTTTACAGATCTTAATATTAATGGCATTAACTGGCCAGCGCAGAAGAAAATATGCCAGTATGCTGGCGGTTCCAGCATGACAACAACCCCAAGCACACAGCGAAAATAATAAAAATATTTTTTACAGATCTTAATATTAATGGCATTAACTGGCCAGCGCAGAGTCCAGACCTTAACCCCATAAAGAACCTATGGGATTTAGTTGATAAAAAAATTTGGACTGAACATCTAGAAAGGATCAAAAATAGTGCCGAACTATTTGAAACAATTGGAGTCACCTGGGATTCTATTCCAAAAGAAACAATAAATAGCCTAATTGGTTCTATGGGAAAAAGATGTCTAGCAATTAGCAAAAATACAGGTTATTCAACCAAGTATCAGTTTCTTTGCATATGACAATTGCTTTGTATATTATGTTTCTCTATTTTTGCTCGCTGTATTTTCTAATAATAATTGTTAGCATAGTTTTATTAAAGCAGAAATTTTATATTCATGTTGGCTTTGAATTACATGTTACATTAAGTTATAATAAAACATAAGTGTTTAATTTTACTTTAATAGTATAATAAAATCTAAAAAAATAAAATGTTTCTCCACTTTTGCTCGGTACTGCAAGAAAAGACCCTTCACTAGAACAAAAACAGTTTATAGTTTGTGACTCTGGGTCATACACTATCATTTTTTTACCATCCATCTTTGTCTGGTATCAGTTTAATGCAAAAAACAAATCCTAACACTATTGACACCTTGTTTGTCATTTTTGTTATCCACATTATTTCAGAGCATATATCACCATATAAAAAACTAGGTATGAGGGGGCAAGCAATTTTGAAAATGAGTAGCTCAGGTGCACGACACTCTAGAGCAGTGGAAGGGTATTGCAAGGTGTCAGGCAGTACCAAGCTATTTCGAGTAAAACAAAAGATGCACTGTAAAGTGGCTACTCATAATACTTCATCCCACTTACCTTAATTAAGTGGTAATAGTTAGGGTTATCACATTCATTTTGTAGTTGACGAATCAGAGATTCATCAGTCTTATCACGAGCCAATTTGAATGAAATTCCTTTCAATGGAGCCATTTGCCATGGTGCTACGATTCTGCAAATATATTTGTTGACAAATGTTCAATTTTACATAAAAGCATCTTACCCTTTCCGTTTATTCAACTTCTTTATTTGGCTGAGGGGTTTATTCCTGGTGAAGGTGGTACTATCATCCATTTTCAATGTGGATAATGGTATTCATTTATCAACTACAAATATCCAAAGAAGGAATTGCATCTTTGCTTCTGGATCAGAAGTAGTGTAACGAAAAAAATCACAAATCACAATATTTCTGAAAGAAGCACCATCAAAACCACTTTAATCATCAAATTCTCACAGATTTCCGGAAATCATAACAAAAATAACAGAAGATCACAAAACACGAAAATATTTCTGTCAGTCGATCTGTCACTTGGTCAGTTCTATCTTACAAGGTCAAAGGAGTCTGAGATAAGGTTAGACTACTACACGAGAGATGGCGTCGCTAATAGAAAATTTCAGATAAATGTGTAAGCTACTTACTACAAGTCTAAATTAAAAAAAAAAACGCTGTCTTGCAATGGCTTTGTCGTCTGTCAATTTATATAAACATCCGTTTCTCATTAAAACTTCCCCGCTTTGGAATAAAACTTCGAGTACATATTCGTTACCTCTGGTCTCAAAGGCCAATCTGGGCTCTACTAGTTTTAGGGGCACCAGTCTCAATAAAATGGTTTCTAACTTTTCATATGCTCATCTGTTTAGCCCCTCTTAATAAAGTACATAGAATGAAGTCACGTGATATTAAGGTAGGTATACAATACAACGGTAAAGGCAAGTGTACACTTAGCAACGTAACAATTCTATAGAATATTCTAAACAGGAGTCTATGGCTAAACCGCCGCGGATTTTAATCGCCTGATTTTGTGAGTAAAGTAAACTAATGGAAGCGTCCGCACTTACGGTTTTTTTCCCGCGGCTGATTTTAAGACCTCGATTTGTTATAGAATGGCTATCGGAAAAAAACCGCGCCAAAATTTGTAGTTCATAGAACGGACTTTCAGACATGTGACGCGGCAACCGCGCGCGGTACTGTCATTCTTCGGAACACCGTCATGAAGAACCAGATATGCAAGTCATCATGGGCATTACCAATATTTGGTAGGTACGTTCACTGCATCATGGAAGTGCTTAATCCCCATGTTTTGCCATGAGAGCGTTTGGTCTGCGGGTTCCAGATTAGTTTTGAGTCTAGTATTACCCCCAGGTATTTGACTTCACCCGACAGTTGTAACTGTTTTTCCAGAAGGTATAGAGGGCCTAACCCCTTTGATTTCTTCGTTCGGATGAAAGCACCTATGTCTTAGAGGGACTTCCTTGCTCTGGGGGCTATTCCAATGTCATACTTGGTTAATTAACCACAGAAGTAATATATTTTGACGTGAAGGGAATTTTGGGAGCCAATATTCTTGGTAGATGTTTTCTTAAATCTTGATACCTTTTATGAAAGAGAACTTTCTTCAATCTTCGGCTAGTCAGTGGATGGACCAAACATTGACGAAATTTTTAATGACGTTTTCTTTTTCTGCTTCTCAGTATTACTCGTAGAGCGACAACACATACACCACTCTTGAAATCCATCTTCAAACGATGAAAATCGTGTACAGTTATGCGGTTTTTAACCGTAGTGTGCGCGGCTCGGGCGGATTTGCGGTTTGGTCGTTTACCGGTTGCGCGAAAAACCGCGTAGTGCGGCCTAAGCCTAAAGCCGCGGTTTCGTGGAATTATTACTGTAAAGTATCGCTCATCTGTTTTGCATTAGTGTGAACCAGATAATAGGTTCGGAGAAACAGATGCAATATTTAAAGTGATGCAATATAGTTGCTTTGGCAATGAACATTTGTTTTTCGCTTTTTATACCTATCCTGGGCAAAAAGTAGTGAGTTTACTTGACAATTTACCTGATCTTAAAATGACCTTGGAGGTCATGGTGAGCTACATTGGCCGTATCGTCAGCCTTTCATGACCTCCTTGATTTAGTTAGTTTTTCCTGTCATGCCTTTCTAGATTTCTACTCTTCCGTGTCAGCGCTCAATTTCTAGGTTATGTTACAAATATCTATGTGCGTCAACTTGTTCATGCTTTCGATTTATATCATCTGTTTTATCAGCCTGAAATTTCCTACAATTCAAAAAGAAAACATACCTCACAATAGGAGAGCTCTGACGCTGACACAGAAGAAATTCAGAAATTTTTGAAGGAGATAAAAGGCTATGAAAATCAAGGAGACCATAAAGGCGTCCCACAATATTATTCTAGAAATGACTGAAAATACAGTCTTTAAACTCAAAATTGTCCGCAATTTGTATTTTAGTAATAAATAGCGTATTCCCGTTAAACATTCATTAGATCTTCAAATGACCTTAGTAGTCGCACACAAGGTCATGAATATACTTGAACACAAAGTTTCTTGTTTTTTTTGTTTCCGGTATCAAAAATAGGGGTTTCCATTTAAGAAAATTGAACTGAACTTTAAATGAAATTGACGGTCATAGTTCAAGGTTACCATCAGATGAATCTTATGAAACCTTACAACTTTATTACCCAACATTTTTCTTGATGAAACGCATTTTTCGAGATGTTTTGTCTTAGCTTCTAGACATTGTCAAATACCTATGAACATCATGGTCATAAGGTCATGCTGGGCAAACATATAGGTACTTTAATGTAAAATTTCCCACTCGAAAGTAGGGGTTACGTTTAATATCCGTTTTACATCAACAATTTTTTTACGAATTTACTCAAATGGATGTCTTCAAGGTCATCCTGATTATGTGCGTTTACATCATGAATGCTGCCAATTTCACAATAAATTTTTGCTAGAAACATTTTGAGTTATTATATGTATTAAGGTTTTGACTTTGTCGCGAATCTAAAAAACAGTAACCATGCTGTTGAATACTGTATACCTATAAAAGTTCTATACTTGAATTGAAAAGTTGTTCAACATGGCAAAATTAGAACAAGTTCTAATTGCCCAAAGAAATCCACGAAGAACTTCATGGATTTATTTGACGTCAAATTCCTGTTTTATATCTTTGAAATTTGGTCATCAATTCAATGCATGAAGAAATCTGTGAATGTATTGTCATTATTGTATAAGAAAACTGTGTTGACCTTCAAATGACCTTGAGCGTTGTGGTCAAGGTCACGTTCAAGATCATCAGTCGATGAACCTTTTCTAGATCGGCGACGGCTCGTCGTCGGTGCGAAAAGGTTCCGAGACTCTCCATTAGAGACCTCCAGGTCTCTCATCAGAGAGGAATTCGCTTCTTGTAGGGTTTTGTCACCAGCAAAGCTGTGGATCAGATTGATCGTACAGGAAATGAGGCCTTATGTAGGTAAGAGGAACAATCTCGGAGCTAAAACCGATCCCTGGGGAACACCCGCGTTGACATTGTGGCATTAAGATCTGTGGGAGGCTATAGAATGGAAATTTGCATAAAAGGGCAGCTGATCGAACGCTTTCGTGATATCAAGGGCAACGACGAGCCTCACCATAAAACTGTATGAGTTTACTCCACAATTGCGCGACGTAAGCTAGGAGGTCCCTTGTGGATCGCTGGTGCTAGAAACCATACTGCCTTTCGCTAATAAAGCCGTGACGTTCTTGGTACGCGCCTCTCCATCACCTTACTTATAACAGAACGCAGAGTTATAGGCCTTTAGTTGTAAGGGTCGGTCTTAGATCCCTTCTATGGGATGGGTTGGACATGAGCAACTTTCCGGTTTTCTCGGGAGGTGCCGGATTCGTAAGATAAGTAGAACAGACGCGAAAAAACTGGAGCAAGCATGCACACGTCTTCAATACATCGACAGGAATCAAGTCTGGACCAGAGGGTTTGTTACATCACCCTGTGTCTAACATTTATACCGTACTGGTCTTTGGCATTGCAGACTGCTCCGTTATAATTGTTTCTGGACCCGACCTCGGTTTGTCGGTTCTCTACAGTGGGGCTTTGTAAGAAAGTTCTGTATGCCTTGATCTTCTGCTGACATGCAGTGTCGCTCGATTTGTTGAACCAGCCGTTGGACCCTGGTCTAGGCACATTCACTGTATGAGGGATGTATTCCTCCACCCCAACGTGGATAATTTCGGTTATCGATAAACAAACAGCCGATGCATCCGCGTCAGCGAAACAAAAATCGCTCCAAGGAAAGATGGAGAACAAGTCTCTGAGCCGCTGCCAGTCGGCATGTTCGTAATGCCAAATTTTGCGGCCTGGGCGAGTTTCTGATACGCTACGGAATTTCACTAGAGCCACTATTGCCAATAGTGTAAAATCAACACAAGCGGCAAACATGTTGAAGCATCGTAATGAAAAGTGTAGGTACCTCCGTATCCGCCGCTGCTCCGTATTTCTGTGAACGGGGGGAATATTCTTCTGGACGTTCTTCTCCGATGTAGATAATATTTTGTAATCGGGTGAGACTCGTACAAGAGCATCAACCACCATCAGCTACGTGCTTTAATACATCACCCGTAGACAAACAAACCCATCCATCTGATCTATCCAGTGTGACTGCGCGGCGCATATTAACCAGGGGCACGCTGTGCACCAGAAGAAAGAGATAAATGTTCCATGGCATAAAAAGTGCAATAAACACGGAAAGTGCATTCGCTGTTGTCTGGATTTACAACCCATATACACTCATATTTATACAGTCACAAAAGGTGGGAGAAATAACTTTATTATGTATCCAGTTTTTGTTCTTTGCTTTCTAGTTTTGCATGGGGAAGCGTAATGGCTAGTGCAGTTCAACACTCTAAGGATCGTTTAGGCCAAATTTTACCAACAGGAGATCAAGATGCATCTTTCTAGTAATGGATCTAAGGAATATAGTAGCTTTTTCTATAATATCTCTCAAACTAGTGAAAAAATATACGATTTTGTAAGAAGGACCTCTAACTGGCTTATTAAATCAAGAAATTCGTCATAAATCGCCTGGTTTAGTTTTAAAAGTATTGCAGTATGCATAATGCTCATGTGGTTCAAAACACATCTAGGTAATGCAAAATAATATGGACTATAGAAGAGAAGCGTCACTCCGTCGTTAAAACAGATTTTGGCAAGTTGCCCTGAAATGATATTGTGGTAGTTTTATATGTTTATGGCATTTCATGATTCACATAAAAAGTATAGATTCCTTGTTCCGACATCGGTTGTAGATTGTTCAAGTGTGTTGCGAGAAAATAGACGTGTTCCATTTTTATATTTTATTTTATACTCTTTGGCGTTCTGAACATTATTAATTTTAACTGAAATACAAAAACGAACTTTTGAAAAACAAAGCGATTATTTTCATCTACACTGAAAACGCTTTTAGGGCGTAAG